AATTTTCTGGATCAACCTCCAAATTCGACCCGAAGAATTATCATTTTGTGAATGTGCTACTGCAACGTCATTATTCGTTATTGTACGTTTTGCTTGAATTTTTATTTTTATTTCATTTAGTGAGTGGGATAAACCTGTTGAACTGCAGAAAAACTAAACACAAACTTTCTTATCTCTTTCTGTCGAAAGCAGTAAATCAGCGGATTAAGGAACGAACTGAATAAGCAAGACGTATGAATGAATGGCAACACCACAAAGAACAGGTCTGATTGAATCCCAACAGCTAATGAAAAAAGAAATAAAAATGAAAGTAGAACGATGGAAGGGACAAAACACAACATTACAGCTCCGACAACAAACACAGATGTCGTTGAGGGCATTTTTCTTTTTAGCAAATCGTTGCGCTTCTTCTTGCGGTAGTTGTTTGGTTTTCATTCTTTTTCGATGTCGACGCGTCTCTTCATACATTGTAACAAATAGGAAGTTGAAATAAAAAGAACACCGCAGAAACTCGAAAGTCAAAGCTACTAATACGTTTGAAAAAACAAAATCGGTACATGTTATGTATTTAGATACCTTAGAATTCGAAGAAGTTGGTAGAAGCCAAGATACGGTCACTGCTATCTTAAGGTTCTCTTTCTTGACAAACAGAAATAGTGCAAAGTGAATTTAATCGCTATGATCCTTTCTAAAGTTACCAACATTAGGTGAAAAGATTCACAGACGAGCACACCACGTAAAGAACAATCATGAAAATTAACAGCAACGCGATAAACTTCTTGATCACCCACTTCAAGTAACCTCAAAATCATACGTAGAATGAATGATGGCTGGACACTGGAAGTAATCCACTTACTACATCGGTTGCCGCTAATCAAGCCAGCAGGATGTCGGCATAGCTTTGAAGTGTTGCTCTCCTTTTGACTGCCAGTATCACTAACACGTCGAGGACAGCGGTAAATGGAAAAGTAATGCTGTTTACGATGATTATGATAATAATGAAATTAACCTTTAGTGGAACATTCAGTTGAGGAAAATCGGTAATATTCGAGGCTGAAGGACTGGGGCAAACTAAGAGAGTTTAAGATTCACGTTTACGCCAAACGGCAAACGTCAGATTCAAGTTGAGAATTTCTCAGAATAGAAAATAAGCAGATGAAAACTGTCCAGAACAATTCTTATGTATAAAACTGGCGTCAAACTACTTATTTTTCAGTTGAAGTGATAAACAGTTAGCGACAATTAAGGGAAAAACTTGGTCACGTGTAACAAATTCACGTTTGCCGTTAGGCGTAAACGTGAATGTTAATCTCTCTATTATAACCCAGGATTCCCACAGTACCAAATAAGAATACACGACTGTTCCTCTGCTCAAATACAATCCCTTTCTCAAGATATTCTATAGTCACTGCAGCTGAAACGCTGCTTCAAGACTTCCTCTTTGTTCTTTTTCCTAAATGTAACAGCTATGTAACAGAAAATTTACGGTTTAAGTGGACAACAATGTCATCGATCATTGATTATCTCCGCAGCTTCTCATGATCAACAGTCCTTATTCAAAGGCTGGACAATGTTAGTGAAACCGTTAAATGTACAAATGTTTCTACTAATGCTCTTAAAGCGATTGGCTAACTCAAGTAGGTAACAGTCTTCTCTCCTCTATAGCTACAGTAGTTAGAAGCACTTGATTGGGGATTTTTCTATGTTGGAAAGGTGCATATCCCAAATGGACAAAGCATTCAATNTAAGATTCACGTTTACGCCAAACGGCAAACGTCAGATTCAAGTTGAGAATTTCTCAGAATAGAAAATAAGCAGATGAAAACTGTCCAGAACAATTCTTATGTATAAAACTGGCGTCAAACTACTTATTTTTCAGTTGAAGTGATAAACAGTTAGCGACAATTAAGGGAAAAACTTGGTCACGTGTAACAAATTCACGTTTGCCGTTAGGCGTAAACGTGAATGTTAATCTCTCTATTATAACCCAGGATTCCCACAGTACCAAATAAGAATACACGACTGTTCCTCTGCTCAAATACAATCCCTTTCTCAAGATATTCTATAGTCACTGCAGCTGAAACGCTGCTTCAAGACTTCCTCTTTGTTCTTTTTCCTAAATGTAACAGCTATGTAACAGAAAATTTACGGTTTAAGTGGACAACAATGTCATCGATCATTGATTATCTCCGCAGCTTCTCATGATCAACAGTCCTTATTCAAAGGCTGGACAATGTTAGTGAAACCGTTAAATGTACAAATGTTTCTACTAATGCTCTTAAAGCGATTGGCTAACTCAAGTAGGTAACAGTCTTCTCTCCTCTATAGCTACAGTAGTTAGAAGCACTTGATTGGGGATTTTTCTATGTTGGAAAGGTGCATATCCCAAATGGACAAAGCATTCAATAGCACTACTGTTCTGACATAAAGTCTACCAGAAAAAAGCTTTTGACGTTAATTCATAAAAAGTCTTAATTTATAAGATAATGGGCGGATTATCTTTTCGTGTTCGTCAGAACGCAACCTAATCTAGTGTTCCTGTCGATACAAAGGCAGAAATTTTCGAGCTATCACGGGCGACTGCCGATTAGCCGCCCCTAAAATTTTATCAGGGGAGGATAGTTGACGATCCGAAATGCAAAGTCATCCCTCTTATCCTAGATGCTGATACGGAAAGGTGTATGTATGTCGCAAGGCAGTGATATTCGTGTCGAGATAACACAGTTCAGTAGATGATGCGGAAGTGTCCTTAAGTTCCAATTCCGACGGGTAAATTGCGCTGATGTAATCTCCAAAGTCCACATTGTTAATAGACTTAATACTAAATAATTCGTCGATGTGGTGTTGGTGTTGTATGTTTACTAAAAGCAGGAAAAACCTAATTTATATCCCTAGCAATATAATACAGGAGCTCATTTCATCTAAGCAGGGAATTTAGTTTCCTTCCCGCACGGTGCGATTATATTAAAGAATATTGAAGCTAATTATTGCACGGTAATATTTTTTTAACAGTATCATTTATATATTTCCAGTTGTATTTTGTCCGGCTAGATAATAATAGCAGTGTTATTTTCTCTTTAATTTGTGCACAATTTGTGTATATGTCTGTGTGAGAGTCAGTATTTACTATGGCCGGCTCCTGACAATCCGTATGGCTGTTGCATATTCCTGGCTCGCTATTGTTTTTTTTCTGGTTAGCAGAAAAATAATTTTATTCTATAAGTACTTCTTCGAACTATTCTTACAGACTTGAGGGTATGAATAAAGTTATTATCGTTGGTGAAAGTTTTTTTTACTACAGTAATGATTTAAAATAAACCTGCTCTCTCAGTTTTTTACCATTTAGCCATCAAATCAACCGAATGTTGATTATAATCTAACATATTATATGGCCAGCTCCCCGGGCGGACAAGATCACTGAAGAGAATCTTAACTTGTGCTCCAGCAAGCAAGATGGCGGCTACCTCGCCCTAACGTGATTCTCAAATGACCTGAGACAGAACCCTTTTGAATTTTAGAATCATCGAAGATTTAAAAACTGTTCTTTCTTTTTCTCTGGGCAATATACAAAAATCCTTTATTGAACAGATTTATAGACATGGTCCTCATTTATTTCTTAGCGGTTTTATGCACCTCTGCATCGTCTCGCTCTACAAAAACGCAGAAAAAACTCTAATCCAATATTGACCTTCCTCTTGGTCGACGCGGGCATGCAGTTTTCACAGCAGCACTGTCTCTAAATGTCCAGCTTTCGCTCATAAGAAAACGTTTTTGGAATACACTCATATCTGTTTTCCAATTTGTTTTCTCCTACATTTTTACCTCAGCTCGTCTCATTACTGCTGTTGTGTTTTTGCTTGGCTTATACACTTGTCTACACTGAGATTATACCAGATCAGCTTTTCGTGTCGACACGTAAAACTGTCCGGTGCAGTGTAAACACCTCTTCATATTGCGCTAAAGAGTCGCACAAAAATCCGATAAGCGACGATCCACTTTCAAGATCGGCGCGACTCAGCGCGTAGGGACACAAAACGCTGTTAGCTAAAAGGGACTGGGGCGAGACGAGAAACGCGAAACGAGCTTACGCCTCTGGTGGCCCGCGACTCGCCCGCCCCCGTGCGTGCTAGTCCAGTGACTTGGAGGAAAATAAGAGACGCTTTGCAGTCTAGCTTATCGTTTATGAGACTCCAACCACTAAGTCGCAAGGGGCCTTATCCGAAGGGGACCGCAGGCCCTCTTCATCTTTGAAATTTTGTATTATCGTTGAAGGAATTCTCAGTAAAATTGATGAAATGAATGAATGAAATGAAATGAATGAAATGAAATGAAGAGTCGTGGATGAGAGGACAACAGACGTCCCGGCCCTCTTACAATACATTTTAACATGTGAACAGTAAGCTCGGACGTCAGCACACAAAGGCGCTACTGGCAGCCGCTCTCAGTCCATTTATGAGCTTACTGTACCCACCCAACCCATGATGTGATGTGTAAAGGTTTACCACAACACCGAGGTCTACGTCCCCTACTCTTTTCGAACAGCGATGTGGGTTCTTTTACGTCCCACAAGAACCAGATAAGTGTAAGTGCTGTGAGACGGGACCTACGGTTTTTCGTCCTTATCGGAGAAGACTAGAAAGTCTAACCGTTTGCAGATGTCATTGCAAAGGCAGCACTTTATTCTCAGTTATTTAAAGACCCTGAGTGTTGGTCCGGCCGGGATTCGAACCCGTGACCTCCCGCTCAGCAGACCGGCGCTCTCCCAACTGAGCCAATCAGGCGGCGGTGTTAATATCTGTTTAGCTGGTAAGTGTCCAGGCTCCCCCTTTTTGTATTTTCTGGATCCGCCTCTTATATCCACCCGAAATGTTAGTCGAAGAATTATCATTTTGCGGATGTGCTTCTGCTAAATCGTTATTTATTCATTTATTTTTTTCTTATCTATTACGGGGTATCTGATGTTATTTATTGATTTTCTTGATTGTTTATTTGTTTATTAGTTAGTGAGTGGGATGTACTTGTCGCACTGTAGAAAATCTAAATACAAACTTTCTTATCTCTTTCTGTCTCAAGCAGTAAATCAGTGGATTAAGGAACGAGTTTGACATGCCAGACGTACGAACGAATGGCAGCAAAATAACGTACAAGTTTGATTTTATCACAACATCTAATGAAAAGTGAAATACAAGTGAAAGAAGAACGATGGAAGGGAAAAAACATAACAGCACAGCTCCGACAACAAACACAGATGTCTTGAAGGCTTTTTTTTCTTTAGCAAATCGTTCCACTTCTTCTCGCGGTAGTTGTTCGGTTTTCATTTTCTTGTGATGTCGACGCGTTTCTTGATAAAACAACAAGTAAGAAATTGAGATAAAAAGAACACACGAAACTAAGGTTAAAGCTACTAATACGTTTGAAAAAAGACTGTCACCTGTTATGTCTTTAAATAACTCAGAAAAAATTGGTATAAGCCAACATACGGTCACTGCTATCTTCAATTTTTTTTTCGTCATAATAACGAAATAGTTCAAAGTGTATTTAATCGCTATGATCCTCTCGTAAGTGACCAACATCAGGTGAAGAGATGAACAGACAAGAAGACCGCGTAAAGCAGAATCATGGATATCAGTAACAACGTCTTCAACGTCTTCATCATCCACTTCAAGTAACTTCAAAAACATATGCAGAATGAATGATGGCTGGACAAGTAATCCACTTACCACATCGGTTGCTGCTAAACAGGCGAGCAGGATGTTGGCACAGCTCTGAAGGGTTGGTCTTCGTTTTACTGCCATTATCACTAACACGTTGAGGAGAACGGTTAGTGGACATGTGATGCTGTTGATGACAATGTTAATAATGAAACTGACCATGACTGGAACGCTCAGTCGAAGAACATCTTCTGAGGTAATATTCGAGAATTTGATGCTCAAATTCGAGCCTGTAGGACTGGGGTCATTCATTCTAAGCCCGGATGTTCACAGTTCCAAACAAGACTATAGTACAACTCTTATTTGCTGCTGCTCCGCTCAAATATATGACTCTGCACAAGATGTTCTATTGTAAGTCACCGCAGCTGAAAATGCTGCTAAATTATGCATGACTACCTCTTTCTTTTTCTATGTGTGATTAACGGATTACGGCTCAAGAGGGCAACAATGTCATTGATCATTTATTGTCAGAGTTGGTAAGAATATTTCCGCAGGGTTTCAGTGGTCCTTTAATGTTGGTGTAAATTAAATGCCGTACAAATGTTTTTACTCCGTGATTTCCCACAAAGCTATTGACTAACTCAAGAAGGTAATAGTTTTTTTTCTTCCAGTTAGTAGCACTTGATTGAGAATTTCTCTTATATGCGAATGTTGTGAAGGTGTATGTACCCCATGAACAAGGTGATATCTACCAGTTAAAAGCTTTTGACGTAGTTCTTAATTTATAAAATAATTGCCGGATTTCTTTTTGTTACTACAAGCCGGGAAAACCTAATTTACAGCTCTAGCAATACAGGAGGTAATTTCATGTAATCAGGGAATTTTAATATGCTCTTTACCGCGTGCAACGTAGTTAAGAATATTGAATCTAATCATTGTATCTTCAGCATTACCGATTTCTGGGCTGTTATATTGTTCGGAACGATCGCATAAAATTGTTTAACAGCAACGTAGTTTTTCCGCTTGTATTTTTTTCGTTTAGTATTTGACAGTCTCTATAGGTTATTTTCTCTTGTTCTCTGTGTGCTTACTATATGTTCAAAGTCTAGGTGGGAGTCATCTATTATTTACTGTGCAGTTACTCTTTTGACTTAGGTATGGATGTTGTATCTTACTGGGACATTATGGGTTTTATTTTCTGGCAGGCAGGAAAACATTTCTGCTTCAATTCAATCAATTCTTCTACGATCCACCAACAAACTTTAAGGAAAAATATGTTATTTTTAGTGAATTTCTCCTGCGTAAGCCAAGGTTCTAAAATAAACCTGTTAATTGCCATTTAGCCCTCAAATCGACTAGAAAATTCATGCACGTATCTCTGTTATCATAATCGAACACATTATATGGCCAGCTCCCCCAGTGGCCAATAACTGAAGCGAATGGTGGCCTGCTCGAAAGCAGATGCTATTACCAAACATTCAATATAGTATTAAATCTGTGCAATTTATTTTATTTAATTAACTGTTCAAAGGAAATCTGTAATTGTTACAACTTTTATTTGTCAACTTTTATTCCATGTAAATAGTGTGAAATAAAATGAACCAATCAGTGAATTAATTGTCTTCTAGCCTACTGGACCGGATTGGCTTTGATACCCTGACATGATTCTCAAGGCCTGAGACGAAAACTTCTTGAATTTGAAAATTAAAATTTTGAAACTTTTTTTATAATTTTCCTCCCGCAATATAATTAATTCTTTACTTAACAGATGGCTGGATAGTGGTCACGGTTATTTTTTAGCAGCTTTACTGATAAACAGCTGCATCGTCTCGGTGCACTCTAAAATGAA